CTCCAGAACATTGAAATAAGCCTGTTGTTTCAAGCCACAGGTTTAGGGTCACTTGTTAAAGCAGCCCTAGGAACCCAGTTCAGGTACTAATGAAGCCTGATCCAGCCACCTCCCATAAAGCTGATAGGGGTAGCAGTGAGTTGGAGGTGAAACTGAAGGAGAATGAAATTTCCCTCTTTGCACCAGAGTCTACCAAAGTCCAAGGCCTTCTGCCTAGAACCCCTTGGACAGCTTGCTCAAAACCCAAATCCCAGTGACCCATTCTCATAACATTGAATGAGAACCTTGAGAATAAGCTCCCAAGGTGAGTCTAGGGAACACTGAAGTTCAAGAGCCTGTGCTTTATGGGGACACTCTGACCTCTGCTCTGTGGAGAAAGGAGGTCAGGAAAGCAAAAACTGTCCCCTTTATTTGTTCCCAAAGCCTTGATGAAGTGGACAAATTTAACTGTGTAGGACAGAAAGCTGGGACAGTTGCAATGAGATAGTTACCCCGCCATTGGTGGGAAGTGGAGACAACTACAGGAATGGGCTCTGGACTCCAAGTGGGGATTGAAAGTGGTGTCCCCATGGGGAAATGAATGAAGGGGAAAGGGGCCAATTACATTTGTACTTTTGCCAAATTAGCAGAGAGAAATCGATAGCTATCAATCTCAAAGGGCCTGTCTCCTGGTAGGTCAGACAGCCCTTCCCCCTGTGACAGACAGCCTCAGGAATGGACACCCTAACCAAGCCCCCCATGACTTATGTCACCATAAGCTGCACAGGAAGTTTTTTAGGAGCAGAAATTATCCTTTGAAAGCTGAAGGATTTCAGAGGATGAAACGGTTCAGCCTTTTGGAAAGATGTTGCATAACATGTATGAAGGCCTGCCAAGAGCTGCCCTGGGATCTGGTCCCTGCTTCCAGGGGTTGGTCACCAGTGTTGCTTTGCCCAGAGGACACCCTGCTGCTCTTTTCTCAGTTTCCATGATGTCTTCCTTTTCACAGGAGGCTTTAGGCTGAAGTTGACCATCCATGGAATAGGACGGAAAGATTGAAAGAATGTCTGCCCATTGCCTTCTTGGGGTAATCAGGGTGAGGGTGGGCCAGGCCCCCTCAAGAGCTCTTTTTGCCATCCTATCAAGGGTGGGCAAGTATCTAGCTGTCCTACCTGTTTTAACTGAGTGTTAATGCAGCAAAGGCCTTTAAAAAAGTCAATGATCTGCATATAGAGCTGAAACTTCCCCTCTGGGTTTTCTGGGTTGCAGATGGCAAACAATGAACTGTCAACAGAAAGAAAGAAGAAACAGCAAATGTTTAGAATCCTGATTTTTTTACCTCTTCTTGACTACCCTTCCCCCTGCCAAGCATTTGGATCGTGGTGTATATGCAACACTTTCATACACCCAGTCGAATTCTTGGACAGCCCACAGCTTTTCTTGAATGGTTTGTATTAATTTTGTCAAGTTTCATGTCTGAAATCCTCCAGAAAAACAAGACTATGATAGGACTGGATCTTGTGCCCTAATTTAATGTTTTGAGCTGTGGCATTTCAAATGAGGGAGCAAGGTTTCTTTTACCTCTGAGTCAACCTGCTGGAGCAAAGCCCAAGGTTTGGTTCCCACCTGTGGCTGCTAAGGCACATTTTGAGTTCAGTCCCAGGAAAGACCCCCTCTCAGTGTGTCTAGCCTGGAGCTCAGGCCCTGCAGAAAGGAGGCTGGTCTTCCAGCTCTCCTTTCTTCCAAGGGGAGCAGCCCGGTGCAACTGAAGCCTTGAGGTACAGTGGCTGTGCGTCCTGTAAACCAGATGATATTTTTCCTTCACTCTTCCTCCTGGGATGAGGTCCCACAGCCAGACTAAGAACCCCACTGGCAGTAATCCCTACCTTTTCTAGAGAAATCAGGGAAAGCCTTTTTAATGGGTTGGTTTTTGTTCCACTAAAATGTCAAATATTGCTTGGCAAGTGTGCTTTGGTGGCTTCTTGACCAAGTTGTTTTTGCAGCCTGGGCCCAGTGCAGAAATAGGAATGTCAGCTTGCAGCCAGCTGCAGCAGAATGACACTCGGCACACAGCTGATGAGAGCTCATGTCACCACATGAAGTGGCTTTGGAGAGGGAAGAGTCTCCTCCGTCAATCCCTGTCTCCTCTGATCTGAAAGGGCCTGCAGGGGCAGGTGAGGTGGAGGAACCATCCCTCAGATCTGGACTGGGGTTCTACTTGAAGCTGTCCTGGACCTTGCACAGCTCTCGTGCCTTACCAAAGGCCTGAGCGGGAGGCCAGGTTTCCACTGAGAGGACAATGAAGACACTCATTCGGATCCCCAGTTGAAGATGGCACCCTCATTCCCAAGGCAGAAAAACTCAAGGTCCAGGTTTATTTTGAGCCTTGACACTAGCTCTGTCCCTGTAGGCCATAGGCCCAGCCTTGCACGCAGCAGCCAGGGAATTTCAGTGCCAGACTGACTTCCTCTGAGAAAATGCCCCTGCTAAAAACTGAGTCCAAGTCCTCCCTGTTTTAAATCTTCCCAGACCCCGTTTTATGTCCTCTTGCTCCTTGGGTGAGCCACACCCTTCTCTGCTTTTTTCCAGAGCTGTTCTCATCAGCACTGTGAAACACAGCTCAGAGAAGCCCCTAAGGTCAGGGCACAGGCCTGCCTCCATGTTGGCCCAGGTCCTCTGTGCCCCAGAACCCCTGCCCACTCTCCTGTCCATGAGCTGCCTGACCCTGGGTGCTATGGACTGAAGGTCTGTGTCTCACGCCCAATTCATATGCTGAAACCTAACCCCCAAGGCAATGGTATTAGGAAGTGGGGCCCTTGGCAGGTGATTAGGACCTTTATAGGAGAGGCCTGGGAGACATCCTGGGCATTGAGCCCAGGGGAGCTTTACCACTGATAACACTGAGCTACATACCCCCATCCCGGCCCTTTTTATTTTTTATTTCACTAATTTGCTTAAGGCCTCCCTGATTTGCTGAGGCTGGCCTTAAACTTGCAATCCTCAGTGCCTCAGCCTCCAAAGTCACTGAGATTACCAGCATGCACCACCTTGCCCAGCAAGATATGGTGACATTGAGAAGATGCCTCCTACGAGAAAAGGCCTTCACTAGACTGAATCTGCTAGCATCTTGACTTTGGACTTCCCGCTCCCTAGAACTGTGAGCAATAAATGCTGTTGTGTATAAACCAGCTGGTTTTTGGTATTTTGTATAACAATGATCTTGTAACAAGGCAAGATCAGCCTGAAGCAGGACTAAGACATACAGGGAAACCCACCAAAGGAAACAGGTGCATTTACACAACCTGGGGCTGATAACCTGGTGTGTTCTAGCCCTGGGCCAGGACAGAAGATTCTTTCCTCTGAGGATGCCCCAGACAATGTCATCCCCAAAGCAACAGTACAATCCTAGGATCAGTCCACTTCAAACACAGGGAAAAAGTGGGTCCCTGAGAACTTGCACCCATCTGGGAGCTGCAGGGGAAAGGCAGAAAACACCCAGCAGGGGTGCACGTGCACAGACATACACACATGCATGCACACTCATTCATATAACACAGACACACCCACATGCTCCACAATCTCATAGTCCCACAGTTGCACACGGACTCACACTTGCTCATGCTGTCTCACACCATCTTCTCACCTAGGGCTGGAGGTACTGGGAGCCTCACTTTTGTCCAGGAAGCTTGCCACATCAAAGGCGTCTTCAAAGAGGATCTGAAAGAAAGCACAGAACTCCTTAAGTCAGAAATAACTTCACAGCTTGACACTGGCGAGGCTGCTGGGCGGAGAGTAGAAAGGCTTTCTTTGTACACTCATCCCCAAAATGCACAAGTGTCAAAGCTGGGGTCCAAACTCAGGGTCTCTGCTTCATAATCTTCCCTAGAGCTGAACATTAAGCTCTTGACTGCCGAAGACAAACTGCCAGACCTGGAGATGGCTGAGAGAGAGGAAGTACTGGGACTGTCTCAACTTTCCAAAGAAGAGAGTAGCTCAGGCATGGGAGGTGACAGCAGAGCCGATCCTGTTGGCAGGCTGGAAAGTCTCATCTGAACCTCCCAAGGTGGAGATTCTGTTTAAGCCACAATGCATAATCCAGCAGTTTCACATCAGGGCAGCTGAAGGCAGCGTTCGCCTGCAGGAGGAACAGCTCGAGCTCTGGCACGCACTAGCTGTGACCTCCGGCAAGTTACTTCATCTCCCCATCAGTCCTCAATAAAACAGGAGTCACAGCTGCTATGGTTTGAATGCTGCAGTTCCCTCCAAAATTCTTGTAGAAAATTTAACTGCCAAAGTAATGCCATTGGGAGGGGAGGCCTTGAAGAGGAGGTGAGGAAGTGAGGACTCTGCCCTTGTAGGTGGATTTAATGCCTTTACAAAAGGGCTTTCTGGCATGGGCTCTCTCTCTCTCTGTCTCTCCCCACCTCCCTTCTCCAGTATGTGCCGTGCAGCAGGGAGGTCCTTGCTAGATGTTGGCACACTGATACTAGATTGCTGGCCTCCAGAACTATAAGCCAACAAATTTCTGGTCATTATACATTACCCAGTCTCAGGGATTCTGCTACAGTAGCGCAAAATAGACTGAGCTAACAATGTGGCCTACTCAGGGTTGATGCAAGAATTCAGGTCATACACCGGACACATAATAATGGCTCAATATGTTGGCTGCATTGAATGTTATCTGCTTTATAAACAAAACAGTGTTGTTGAAATTCTAGAAAATAGAAACAGATAAGGAAAATAAGAATCACTAAGAATCCATCAGAGATACCTGTTGTTGCTATATCAATCCACTTCTCTTCAGTTATTTTCCCAGGCATATTATATAATGACAATGACAAGGACTGCTAGTACCAATATAAGAATAATGATGATATGCTTCCAAATTTAGAATTAGGTTATTTAGACAGTTTTTGGTCCTTTGATCTGTAAATATTCTGTAAAAACATGATTTACACTTAAGACTGATGGAGGTAGCAAATAGAAATGCAAGACGCCTAGTTAAATTTGAATTTCAGATAAAGAAGAATTTTTTTGTCATAAGAATGTCCCCCCAAATTGCATAGGATATTTTTTGAAAAAAATATTTTAAAAGTTTAGCTGGACATGTTTTATTTTTTTGGCATCTTATTTACTCTGGTGATCACCCTGAGGGGAGGAGGGGGTGTCCTCTGGCCCCCTGTGGGCAGGTACCCGCAGGTCCTGCCAGAGTCCCTCCTCACTCCTGCCCGGGACACTGCTCTTGCCCAGCTCTTCATGTCTTCACTCAATTCACTTCTGTGTAACTGAATCCCTTGGAATTCTGGCTATGTGGGTGGTCCATTCCAGTTTTCTGAATATTTTCTGGTGTCCTACTTATATTTCTTTTGTTACTTCAAAGAAGCTCTGCAAGAGGCCATAGAAAGGCCTATGCTCTCTCCTCCCCACAGGTCTGAGACAGGGACCCAAGCCCTAAATTCCCCTCCATAACCAATCAGCCCACAGAGTTGCAGGCCACACGTTGTCTCCATGTATGCAAAGCCCCCTCATGATCCAACCTGGAAAGGACTCAGATCAGGCTCCTTTTGGAGTTCCCACCACACTTAGGGACCACATGTCTCAGACCTGAAGCAGAATGTTCTGGGGCCTCCTGGATGCAGAGAACCCTGAGAACAGGGGCTGGCAGCAACCCAATTGTTAAACCTTTCCAGAAGGACCAGGAGCTGCAGTAAAGCTGAACTAGCAGAGCACAGAGCTGACCTAGAAGCCACAGCAGGAGCAGCTGTGGTTGGCCCTGTCTTGAGCATGAGTGTGCTCTGTTCCACTCACCTTCTCACCTGCCTGGCTTCACCAAACCCTGGGCAGGAAGCTCCTATTCTTGGGCATGGATGGGGGAATCTGCTGCCTGTTTCCCTCAGCACCAGAAAAGCACCAGCCTTCTCTGAGAAAGGCCAGGCA